AAATAGAAGAAAGTTGTAGGAATTACTGGAGAATATGATGCAGTTTTCTTCTCCAAACAGTTTGAAAAAGGTGGTATTTGTTAATGAAAAAACCTGAGGGTGCATCATGGCAGATTGGTTTTGAAAGAAGGCACCCAAAACAGACTGTCCAAATAGACTGTTTGAAGTACTCTGCTCAGTTTGAAACCTGAGAGCCTCCACAGAAGAGGAGATCTGGACAGAGCAGCCAGAGGTAAACAGGAGCAGCAAAGCAAGGCTCCTCTTCCAAATAGTACATGACTATTGTTGATAGATGTGAATTCTGTGCAGATATGGACATGGATTCATAGTCCTGATATTAGGAGATATCAACAATATTAATATATTAGTACTAAACTAAGCCAAATATTCTTGCCCCAAACAGCTCCAAATGCTGAGAATTTTTATGTCTGCAAAATAAACTACCACATACTGGCAAACTGATAATTCAGAACAATTCCCTTGTTCTACTGATTCAGAATACTTATTTTTTATTATTATTATTATTTCTACCCCTAGAAAAGGAAGAATAAAGTTGTAGGATGTAATAGCTTGGTAGCATCAAGTAATTACTTAACCCATACCTTGTTTTACATCAATAATGGGAATTTGTTTTGTATATATTTGTATATTTATATCAAATATGTATGTATGGTCTCATAGTGAGTTCAATTTTTGTTCCAAATTTCACATAACCTTTCAGAAGTGAGTAGCTAGCTACTTTACTCTTCTATCTGTCAAATTTAAAGAGAACTTTCTTAAACTGAAAGGAAGTTTCACAAAACAATTCTCAAATATGGTCCCCCAAAATTCAGTCTGTCAAGATGTGTAAAACTTCACCGTGCTTTGGTTGCAAACAGCTCCTCTAGATTGATGTGACATGCAGAAAGATACTGCTGGGTACGAGTTGCTGTTGTTAAATGACACATGAATAATGCACTGGATTTGGGATCCATCAACTCTTGTGGTTTTAATAATTTATTTTCTTTTCTTCCGTTTCGTAACAGAAGAGTTGATGTAATCCTACCCCATGTGAATGCTAAGTTCAGTGTTTCACAATAAATGAAATCTAAACCAGCATGAAATATCCACAGAGCGTAATCTAAAGTGCCCACAAAAGCTGGGACTAGGCTCCTGATATAGCCAGTGGGGTCCCCAGGGAATTAAGTTCTCAGCAACAAGTTTTAATTTTGCCTCTGGTTTCTCTTTATTTGCCTGAAGTAATTCAGTATTTTCTTTCAGTAGTGAGAGGATGGACCATGCAACAAGTGGAAAAGCAGGAGATCTGACTTGAATTTAGTGACATCAGTCTCCTTGAACTGTGCCCTCTGTCATTTTTTCACCAAGAAAGGCCAAAAAATTCATTAGGTGAGCTGACTATGTAGCACAGGCCAGGAAACTTTTCAAAGACTTTTCATTATCAGAATTACAAGCTCTATTTGAGCACTAACAACCTTTTAAAAAAGTCATTTCTCATCTAATGACTGTGCCTTGAGAATCTGCTGCTCAAATAAATGTTTGCACTCAAGATAAAAGCAAAAGCCATGGGCAACACCTGTATCAGGGAACTAAACAGTGTCACTTTGTCTTTGAAACCAATGACCTTACTGCTTACTGGGAATGGCCCTGGGCCATTGTTGACCTGTGCCTGGGAATGACTTCAGATGCTGCTAGTTGGCTGAGCCCAAAACAATGGCAGCAACTGTTCTGTGAATTTAACAAGGTGAACAGATGAATTCCAGCATGTCTGTGATGATCTGGCATTGTTTAATATACTTATATTATGATCCTGTGTGCACTATACTGGATTGTCAGAATGTAGCAATCTTCTGCTTTCTGTCACAGATTTACTGTCTCTTTTGTTGACTCTAGAAATTTCTTCCTCAAATTGGGTGAAATAGTAACCTCTTTCTTGAACAGACTACACTGATTTGACCAAGCTATTTAAGACTCTCATTACTAAGCATGTTTTTTAGGCAATGTATCTGTACTTTTTTAGCCTTTGCTGGTAGAATAACTTTGTTTTATAATTAATGTTGTATATATGCTACCTATCTAGGCTAAACTGATACTCACTTGCTTATAAAACCGAGGCTTGAGAAGCAACAACCAACCACATTCAGTTGAGTATCTGCTGCCAAGGAACACTTGGTGAAGGACATCTGCACTGAACATCTAAATGGGTAGGTGCTTGATTTCTTGAGTTAGGTGACATCTTTATTCAAAAGCTGTATGAGACTTCGACTGAGACCACAAAAGGGCACTGGAAAAAGTTATCCACAGAGGAGTTCCACCTGTTGTGGAGTCTCTGTCCTTGGAGATAGACAAAACTCAGCTGGATGCAGCCTTGAGCAATCTGCTGTAGCTGATCCTGTTCTGATCAGTGGGCCTGGACTAGATGATCTTCAGAGGTGACTTCCAGCCTCAGTGATTCTGTGATTCTGTGTGCTCTTTTCCTTGGATCAAGGTTTGGAACATCAGTATCTCTTCACCCATGTAAGAGTCAAAGTCCCTCCTCCTTGTTTTTTTTTCCTTCTGCCCATAACCCATGCCTTCCTAGCTGTCCACTTTAAACAGAAACCTCACAATCTTTTTGTTTTAATTTTTCAGGTTTTTCAGACCAGCAATTTCTGCCATTGATTAAGAATTTTATAAGATCTGGAGAAGAACCAGTTGACTATTCAGTTTTCTAGTGCTTATTTATGCCATGAATACATGCAGGCTGCGTTGTGCTTCTACTGACTTTGGAGTGATGTGGAATGGGTTGGGGCAATTTTTCAGAAACGTGGGCTGGCTACACATGAACCAGCCTCATTCAAGAAGTAGCTTAGCACAGGGAAGTGGCTTCTGGGGTGGGAATCACTTGGTTGTAGCATCTCTTGAGATCTCCATTCTGAATACTGTGAGCTACGGTGTCTATTCTCTGATAGAAAAACAGACATTCCCTCCCTGCTCTTCTCTGCTACATCTTAACTTCCCTACCTCAGTCCTAGTAGTCAGTCTCTTTTAAAAACAAAGTTTGTGTCTGTGACAGCAGAATTAGTGCTGGGTTTGGTACCCAAGTTCTCTGTTCAGGGATGGAGGAAGATTGACCAAAACTCTGAACAAAACTCTGAACACCCAGCATGTTGACAATGGGGAATCCTGATGTGGAGCCATAGCCCCAGACTCAGGGATATTGTTTCTCAGAAGTGATAACTATCCCCTGAGCAGCACCTCTGTGAGACTGGTTCACTCTGAAGCTGGAGCTGTTGACTAATACTGAACCAACATCATCCCTGCAGATTTTATTTTTTTTTCATGCCATAGCTCTTCATGGCAAAATATGTTATAACAGCTTCTGGAGCAAGAGCTCCCTTCAGGATCATACAAGAGAGTCAGATACCATTTGTTTTTTCACCCTTCAATCTTGTGATTTACATGTGGAGCAATCAAGCTCCAAGTGGAGAGGAAAGCATCTCCCTGCTATGCCATTTTCCTCACCCCAAAGCATCTATAACCTCCAGAATTAAACATTCTAACAAGAAAAACATGTTATTCAAGTCTCTGAAACAAGAGGAGGGAACTGATATATCCATTTCATGGAAGATGGCTGAGCTTTTAGGACAAAGGTACCCTCAAAAGCCTGTAAATGCTACTGAACCCTGTGCTGTATGTGTTGCATTGCATGGACTTGGTTGCTGAATTAAACTCCTCAAAGTTTTCAGTGCAGGGATCCCTGGTGTGTAAATCCTAGTCAGCAGGGAACAAGCACAGAGACGTGCAGCAAAGCTGAGGTGGCAGCATATCTGTTCATGGCCAGTTTTACTTTCTGGTGAAACTCAAAGCTTTTTAAGTCTCTCAGATTCCTAAGAATTTCAGAGTTTAGGCTGGTACTACTATACTTAGGTACCTAAATTCCACCTAGGTTGCACAAGAGTTGCCTATCTTTGGGATGTTAAAATTTCCTATGTCTGAACAGAGTGAAATAGGCCAAGCAGAGAATGATGCTAATGCAGTTTAGCATATCCATATACAGGAATTAAATAATTTAGAATAGATCAGCTCTTCAATGTGCTCTCTGGGTACTGCCCAGGCTAGAAGTCAACTTAATGGCATTACAACTACAGACCTGCGTGCACCAGGATCAGGACCTGCTGTGTGAATTGGTAGATGAGCCTGTAACACATATTTGGAGCCTGTAGTGAAACTTAGCTTTCTTTATGAAGACTGAGGAGAGAATTATGATGACTTTAGGCTTAGATATTATAAGCCGAAGGTAAATTTGGATGTGAGGTGTTGCTCTCCTTGCCTGCCAAGTAATAACACTTAGAGTGTCACTAGAGTGAACTCAGAGCTTGGTTCTCTGTGGGGCCCTGCAGCTGTGTGCGCTGGACTGAACATCATTCAGTTCTGCCCTCCAGCAGCTGTCCTACCTTCAGTGGTGGGATTTTGATTCTTCTGAACCCCTGCAGTAAAACAGGTCTCCTCTAATACTGCAACACAGAGATTTCCCCACCCCAACCCTGTATTTCCCATAAAGCTGTAAAACAAACCTCCTAACCTTCCCCAGCCTGATCCCTCAGCCTGGATGGATTTCCCAAGGCTGCTGATGGTTGAAGAACAATTGTTTTTGCTCATCAGTGGCAGAATGAAGGGATTTGTGTTGTAAAGTTGCTTGACAAGCCAAGGAGCAGAGCAGTGTGCGAGGAGGGGGTGGGCGGAGAGATGCTCTGCCAGCCAGGCAGGCAGGATTGCTCTGGCAGTGGCTCTGCCTGGCTTTCACTCTGTCTCCCCAGGGAGGGAGCCTGTCTCTCAATCCAGGCTTCTCCCCTGCCACACGAGAGGGAGGGAGAGAGGAGAACACAGAAAGGTCCCTTCACACTGACGGCACCCAACTGCCCGGCTCACACCTGCAGCAGGCAAGCCATGCGGAAGAGTCTCTTTGCCCCTACAGCACTTTGCCTTTGATTTAAAACCTTCACCCGCTTCAAGAAGGGACAATGGAGGAACAATACATTTCCAAACTCCACCCAATAGTGGATTATGGAGCTGGGGTCTTTCTTCTGATCATAGGTGAGTTCTGCCTTCACAGCCTGCCTGTTTGCTTTAAGCTTAGGAGCAGACACACCAGGGCTGCCCCATCCGTACTGCTGTCAGGCAGAGGAAGCTGGAGGAAAATGACAGAAAATCTGTTTCCAGAGTCCTGCATGTTGCCTTTGAGTTGGTTGGATGCCAGGATTAATCTCTGCTCTCAGATTTGCAGCTTTTTGTTTTAATGCTGAAGATTTGCCAGCCTAAGTTTGCCTCTGTGGCAGCACAAGTATTCAAAATAAGTTGTCTACCTCTTACCCTGGCACCTCAGCCTTGTGAATTTAGAGACGTGACAGCCCATTTCTTGGGGCTGATCAGAAGAGAGCAATTTTGGTCTGCTCCTTGTGTGGGGGTGTTCATCATGCATGAAGAGCAGCTCTGTCTTTGTAGGATAAACTGATATAAAATAGCAAAAAGTTGCCAAACAGCAGCTCTGTTTTTTTTTATAATGGCCTGTTTACTCTGCTGAAGGCAGATTTACAATTAAATCCAAGTGGGCACCTGTACCAGCCTGCTTCAGCATGGCTTTAACTAAGTATTTTCTTCTTTGTTTGTTGCATGTACCCAGGTGATTTGTTTAGTATCATTGTAGATTTGGAGAGAAGCAGAATTGCTTTAGGCATGCAGCCCATCTGAATTTTGCTAAGATGCAAGTACCTTCCTCCCTTCTACTCATTTACAAACCTTGGTTTGTATGAGATGCATTTCTGAAAGATGCATTTATGAAAGCATATATTTTTATGTGCTTTAGTAAAGAGGCTTTGGGCAGCAAGGCTGGGCTTTAGCATTTCACACCTCATGCCTGTTTCTACACACTTTTCCCTGCACTGTGCTGTCACCTCAGTTGTGCTGACAGCAGAGAGTACAACACAGGGTGAGAAAAATCACTGTCTGCAAAACAACAAAGGGATTTTCTTTTCATGCAAGTCAGGATGCCTGCTGTTTCCTCAAGCAAAAGTTAGTACAGATGCAGTTCACAGTTTTGTCCTGGGCCAGCCAGCAGCCTCACAGGCAGTGGGATGGAGGGGACCAAGCATCTGTCAAAGTAAAAGAGAAGGTGGACCTGGATGTCCATCCCTGATGGCAAGACTAAGAGCTACTTCCTTCCTCTTGTGTAGTGGTTAGGGCTGTCTCAGAAGAAAGTGAACTGAGGATGTCCCAGCCTGCAGCTGTCATTTGGCAGGAGAGTGCTCTTCCCACCAAGCCACAGGTTACTCCCTGTCAGCAAGCAGTCCCATGCCAAGCCACTGTGGGCATCTGTGTGTGCAGACATCCAGCTCCTGAGAGCTCAGGGAACTTTTCAAGCCTATCCAGCGGTGCCAAGTGAACGTGTGTGGTTAGAAAGTCAAAAAATGTGGGATGTGGGGTCTCAGATATGTATCTTCTGTTGAAGGCTTTCTTGTGGCATGTCTGCCCATCCTTGGATTTATGCCAATTTATTTATTTCATTTTGTTGCATATGCCTTTATTAATTCCTCCGTGGGCACTTTATTATGTGGTGTCTGTGAGCAAATGCAGCCTTTCTGCTTTCCCAGCAACAAATCACCAAATGGTTTTTCTGTTTCCCTACTTCACTTCTGACTGTAGAGGACACCCTCTAAGGGAAACCTTTGATCAAAACATAGCTCCAGCACCATGTTCACTTGAAAGAAATGAGAAAATGAGTTGTTTGCTACATGTACTTTTGACACTGTTGTCACAAATGCTTTGAAGCCCTATAGCACATCTGAATAATGTATGTCTGACATGTCCTTTTGCAAAGCAATCTCTGGTCTGTTGCATACCCCTGACAAAAATAACAATTCCATGACCTGTCTTAATGCACTTGGAGACCACCAGAATAGTGTGGGTGCCTGAACAGCAGCACACAGTGATTCTCAGCCACTTGGCCAGCGAGGACCCTGAGCTGCCCAGCCAGCACGTGTTGACTGTCAGCTGTGGGCTATTCACATGAGATAGGAGCCAGAAGGGAACTGATGGGATATAGTACATGGAGAGGGAGATGTGACATGGAAGTGCAGCTCTGTAATGTGGGGATAGGAAGGGACAGGGTACGGCCTACTATTCCTATGACAAAATTTTCCCCATTCAGTAAGGCCAGCACCACAGGAGGCTGTAAACAGAAATCTGGAGCCCTCTTTGCTCTACCAGGTCTATAGTGGAAACACAGCCTGATTAGGGAATCCCTGTCTAGCAGGGAAGCAGGAACTGAAACCCAAAGCTGGCTGAAGCAGAACAGTGGATGATGTGGTCAGGATGCTGAGCTGTGTAGCAGCTCTCAGAACTGCTATCCAGATGGCATTGCCTACCTGCTCTCTAACAAGTTTCTAACAAGTTTCCTTGAGATGAAGAACAAGGTTTCATAGCAGGTCATAGCAGATACAACCCAGCATGTCTTCAAAGCATCAGCTCAACATAGTGTTGGCCTGGGAGATGCTGAATTCTGGCTAGTTTCCCAGTCTGTCCTGTCTTTTAGACTTTATTCCCAGCCTAAAACCAGCATTTTTCTCATCCTTTGTATGGGAGAAGCATTTCACACCTGTGCTACTGTCTGTGCTGATTCTTCTCTTCCAGCCATCCTCACAATCCTTGGAAATTCAGCTGTCCTGGCTACAGCTGTGAAACGTTCTTCCCTCCTGAAGTCACCAGAGCTGCTCACAGTCAACTTGGCAGTAGCAGATATTGGAATGGCAATCAGCATGTATCCACTGGCCATTGCATCCGCCTGGAACCACGCCTGGCTGGGAGGAGATGTGTCCTGCATGTATTATGCCCTGATGGGCTTCCTTTTTGGTGTCTGCAGCATGATGACCCTGTGTGCCATGGCTGTCATTCGATTCCTTGTTACCAATTCATCCAAATCTAACAGTAAGTAATTACATCTCTGGTAACCTCGTAATAGTGCATTTGGGCTGTTACATTCAGAGAGTTACTTGGCTGCATGTGGCATGGAGTATAACTACAGGAATAAGCCTTAACTTTTAGTCCAATATCAAGCCTTTAATGTTCCTGGATGGATTTGATTAAATTCCTTATCAAACAGTGAGGCTTCTCATTTCTTAACAATACCAAGTGAAACTACCTGAAGGTGCAGAGCCCAGTTTTTTTGCTGGACCAGTCTGTCTTATCTTCCTTTTTGTGTGCAAGCAGGCATACTGAAACTTGAGGAAGGAGTGCTGTTCTGGCATCCCTGTCCTGGAAGCACAGTACCTTTTGGGTCAGCTTGATCTTGTAAAGCTGCCTAACTTAGCAAATTGAGATCAGTGCTTAGGTCTGCATTGGGGTTTCACTCAGTCCATTGACTCTGTTATGTTTCTCAAGACCAAATGTTAGGGAACTGTAGCCACCCTCCTTCTGTTGGAGAAGTTATGGCAAAAACAACGTGGCTGAGATGAGACTCAGATATCCTTGCTCTTCCTCTTTCTTGCAGGTAACAAAATCACCAAGAACACCATTCGCATCTTGATTACTTTCATCTGGCTCTACTCCTTGCTCTGGGCCATTTTGCCCTTGGTAGGGTGGGGCTACTATGGCCCTGAGCCATTTGGTATCTCTTGTACAATAGCCTGGAGCAAGTTCCACAACTCTTCCAATGGCTTTTCATTCATCTTGAGCATGTTCCTCCTGTGCACAGTCCTGCCTGCACTGACCATTGTTGCCTGTTACTTGGGAATTGCCTGGAAAGTTCACAAAGCGTACCAAGAGATCCAGAATATTGACAGGATCCCTAATGCAGCTAAACTGGAGAAAAAGCTGACATTGGTGAGTTATCCCCATGATGAGTCTGAAGGAGCTTGTAGAGAGCTGGCTCTTCTCATGCATCATTCATGATGAGCCCTCATTGCTTTTGTTTGGTATTGACCAAAGATGGACATCTATTTCCAGTCTCCCTCTCTGCACTCCTCAGAGGAGCAGAGGGCTCCTGAAATCCTTGTCATTTCAGTGGTTTCATTTGGTTTATATATTGTAGGTAAAATGCAGCTTGTTAAACTTTCTTTAAGCAGTTGCACCCATTATTTTAATAGACATGTATTTCCAGTCATACTGGAATACCCGTTGAATCCATTCACATTATAGTTAAAGTGGAGGTTTTGTTCTGTAGCTATTTTTAATCAACTGAGTGGCTATTCCGAGTGAGAGAAATTCTATATGGAAACAGGATTTTTTAATATAACATTTTTTCAAATAAGCACTTCAGTTGCTCATTTCTTGTAGAAAAGGAGAATTGACCAAGCTTTCCAGAGGCCAGTCAACCTTAGGCTGTGCTGTCTACTTGGGTTGTGTCTCCCACGACATTTTGCAGCCAGAGTCAGGGAAGGAGATGAAAACTGCCTCACAGGAAACCCACAGTGTAGATCTGCTTGGTAGGAGAAAAATCCTGTGTGCACTGTGCAGTGTTACCTGTCACAACTCAGGTCATAACACAGCAAGCATGCAGCTTCAGGTCTTTCAGCTGGTTTAGATGTGGTTTCACCCACACCCCCTGTGCCTGAGCACCAGAGCCGGGCAGTGGCAGCTGAGAACTGAAGCCCTGTTTCCCTTTCAGATGGCTGTGCTCATCTCGGTCAGCTTCCTGAGCTCGTGGACACCCTATGCAGCAGCCAGCTTCTGGTCCATCTTTAACTCCAGCAATGCCCTACAGCCCATTGTCACACTCCTGCCCTGTCTGTTTGCCAAATCTTCAACAGCCTACAACCCTTTCATTTACTACATCTTCAGCAAAACTTTCCGGCGTGAAATTAAACAGTTACAGTGTTGCTGTGGCTGGCGAGTTCGTTTTTTCAGCACTGACAACTCTGCTGAAAATCCTGTGTCCATGATGTGGAGTGGGAGAGACAATGTACGTCTTTCCTCAGCTGCCAAGCTGGAGAACCAGGGAGCTGCAGCTCACTGTTGAAACTTGGGCTCGCTCAGGGGTCCAAGTGAGTCGGAATGCAGCACGTGGGTTTGTCACTGCCTATCTTGTGTCAAAGACAGGGGTTTAAGCATATGTTTTTAGGCAACTCTCAATTATTGTCTTTAAGCTACACAATAATAATAATAAAACTGCTATTTTTTTCAAAAATTTGCACTTTAGAGGAAATAGATTTATGTACTAAACATAAACCCATGTAAACTAAACTTACTGCCAGGGGAACAGCTATAATTAAAAGAGGATTTATTATTTTGGGTTTTTTTTGGTTACACTTTTGGCTTTTTAATGCAAGCTATCTGCAAACTCTTGGCTCTATCAGTAAAATGGCCATCAGAGAAAACTGTAGGTTGGACACAAAGTGTTACCAAATAAGTACAGCTGAGAGTATAGCTTTCCAGCAAGACAGACAGAAAACCAGATGGGTAGCGAGAAATATTCACTGCCAGGAGATGATAAGTGGCTGCCATCAAAGAGTTTTATGGAGAGCTACAGTTCCTTGCTCCATCAGAGGTAGAGTTCTACCTCCTCAAAACACAAGCTTGAAAAGGTGCTGAGCAGCCTTATTGTGGTTAGATGGGAATGTGGCAGTCAGCAAAGGATGCCTTCTGTGTGTCATGAATAACACAAGGAGAAGTGAAGGAATCTCTTAGCAAAAGGAACTGTGCACTTCTGCTGTGGCTTGCCGAGGTGTTAACAGCTCTTCCACCATGAAAGCAGTCAGAGCATTTGTTGCCTGCAGGAGCACTTTGTATAGCACAGCAACAGACACCCCCAGGACAACCTGCCCAGCAGTATGTGAGCCTGCAGGTGCAGTTCCAGCTTTCATGGCTTCAGTGGGAGCTCCTGAGATCCAGAGCCTCCTGGAGGCTGGAGCACTGGCACAACTGCAACTGAGAACAGTTTGCTGATTCAGTTTAAAGCATGTGTACAACTTCAAGTAGTTTCATTAAAGCACGTGTCCACCATCATATCATTAAAGCACACAGCATCCTGGCAGCCAGTTTCAGCAAAAGATTCTGAGGTGGAAATGATGAGTTTCTGCAGCTTAAATCTCTCTCTGACTTACTGTTTGTGACTTGAAAGGACATAAACAACTATCTTTAGGATTCAAACTGTACAAAATATGGCTTGATAGCTGCAGCAGTTCTTGCTTCCCTTGCTTGCCCAGCTGACCACATCTATCTTTACATTAGGTGCAGTGAAGACAAAATGAGCTATCTCATCTTGGCACAGATTTTAGGCAACAAACTAAAACAACAGTGAATGGACTTGGAGTTCTTGAAAACTTCCACCACACTCAAACCCTAATAATTAAGTTTCATTTTATAACCTACAGCCAAAGCCAAGAGCAGGATTAAAAGACAGGCTTTAGCACTTTCGTGGCTATGAGAATTTGTTACTGTGGAGACTGGATTATAAAAGCACAAACAAAATGAGAGCTTTAATATACACTATGGCACAAATTAATGACAAATTTGGGGAATTATGACATCTTAAGGAGCTTGCCTTCCCCTGAACTCCTGCCACTGGCAGCGTCACCAACTCTCATAAATATTCTACTAGGTTAAAATAGGTTTATTTTTTTAAGTTGTGAAAAATTCCTAAATTAGGCTGACCTTCAAGGTGGCATTATCTTGTCTCGGCCTGTCACTCACAGATGCTCCATATGGAATGAGACTGTGTTGTCTTCTGTCCCAAATACTAAGAGGTGAAGCATCTTCTGGGAAACAGTCACCTCTGATAGCCCATGGCACAGGAAAATGGGAAAAGAGGAATGTGGGGGATGGGTGAAAATGCTAATAACTGAGAGGGGAGCTTGTGAAAGCTGAAGAAAAATATATGGGGAGAGAAGAGATGCAGGAGTGTTAGCATGAGTGTTTGCAGTGAGGGTGAGGAGGTGGGAGAAGGAAATGCAAAAGAGACAAGAGTGTAAAACAGAAGAGGGGTCAGAGGAGTGTGTCAGTGGGTGGAGAAAACATGAACATGCTGGAAAGGGACTTGCTATGGTAAATGTCAATTATCAGCATTTTTTCAGCTGTAAAAATAACCTGATAGGAAAATGGAACTATTTTAACAATCCTCTTCCACCTCCCAATTCTTGCTTTCATTTGCTCAGTTGCTTGATGTTTAAAATAAACAGCAAAGGATATATTCCCATTTGCTAACTACAGATTTGTGAATGGAACAATAAGTGATGCACACTAATAATGTCATGTAACGTGGGCTTGCTCTGTCAAAAATTTAGGAGCAAAACAGATCCACATCTACTTGTAAATGCTTTTTAAGTGTATGTAATATGAAATTTATGTCAGTCTACAATTCAGGCAAGGTCTCTGTAAAACCAAGATCTGTATAGTGTTAATGTTTAAGAATAATATTTTAATAGCCTGATTTATTACCTGTTTATGTCCTTCATTTTTAAAACTGAAATCTCAGTGTTTGTGTATCAACTATGGCTCAAATCTGTTTTTCCTCTCTTGGACTCAGTGAGAAGAAATCAAAACTTCCCCAGTAGGGACTCTGAATTTTAAATGGTTTTACATTCTATTCAGAAAACTTAAAATGCAGGGCTGCTCTTGACCAGAGAACTAGGAAAGGAGGTATAATAATATTGTGTAGGTAACTAGTTTTTTTCTCTTAGGTTTCATGAAGCTGATTTATGGTCAAATTCTAATTCTAATTACATGGTATTTTCCTGCCATTCCCTAGACTGTGTTGACAACTAGATGATCTTCTAAGGCCTTGAAGCAAGACACAAGCAGCTACCACAGGGCATCTTATGCCTGCAATCACCAGCGCAGTCATCCTAATACAAGCATTTTAGGCAAAAATTCCAAGAGCATCTAACCTGCTCACATACTAGTTCTCTCACCTAACCGTGAAAGTTTACAATGCAGACATACACGTCTGAGGGAGACATCTTCAGCTCCTTTCTTTCCAGTCAAAGAAGACAGCTAGCACCCTGATTTGCATTAGAATAAATTGGAATTCTGTGCCTTCCTTTGAAAAACCTTCTAGGCAGTCTCTGTCCATCTCAGCACAGGAAAAACTTAAGAGAACTAGATCACTTCTGTTAAGGGTCCGGCTTCCATCTGTAAAATTAAATGTGACTCATTTCAGAACAAAACTCAATTATTTGAGGGAGGTTATTGTTCAGTTAGAGCATGAGGCAAACACTGTGGAGACCTGCCAGTTACACTGTGCCACTTTGGAGAAATCACTTAACCTTGGTCTTGGGTTCTTCTCTTACCCACACAATAGAGATGGTCTTGCATCATTGTAAAGCACCAATTATTTGATGAGCAAGTGTGAAAGAACCAACCCTGAAGGTTGTTAACACTAAGAATGAAAAACAGATTGCTACTCCTTTGCAGTAATTTGTCCTCTGGATCATCTACCATGCTCAGGATGTTACTTTAGAACTTAAAGTCAATGGGAAAGTTTGTTTCACAGCCATGGCATTGGCCTGGAACTTGGTCCTTCTCTTAACTTCTTGCTTTAGCACAGTTTTTTTTTCATGAAAGACAATGGATTTAAAGTCAGTTCCTAGGTGTAAATTAAAATCTCCAAGTCTCCAGACTTGTCCTATCTGCATTTTGTGCACTTTTGCAAAACAGAAGATGTTTTACACCTAAAAAAAATACCTATTTTGGAACGTCCTAAGGGAAATGACTTAGCCACGGATTAATCTGCCTCTACCATATTCCTATTGAAAGTTCTGAGCACTGAGTCCCATGGTTTATGGTTTTGCTCTGCAATATGCCAAAAATACTTATATTGAGAAAAAAGGTTTCAGTATATTTGCAGGATTTTGGACTAAAAGAAACTCTCAGTAGCCCAAGGAGACGTGCAGTGTTAAAGCAGCAGGTTGATGAGGAGTGCGCGCAGCACGCGAGGTTCTGGTTGGGAATCATCCACCCTTACCAATGAGGGCTGACAGCAACTGTCAGCAAGCACTGCTGTCACTGCTATGCTGCTTCAGCAGCCTGGAACACATGGGAAAAGCACATTCCATCTTAGCTTGTCATCCCATAAGGAAGCTCTACTTAGCAGTGACCTGACGGATCACTTCCTCCAAGCCCAGGAGCAATGCATCAAAACAAAGAAGGCGGCAGGAAGAATGCCAGGTTACCAAGGAGCTCCTGGACATGCTTAGATGTAAAAAGAAGGCCTACAGAGGGTGGAAATAAGGACAGGTAGCCTGGGAGGAGGGCAAAGAAGTTGTCCAAGCATCCAGGGATAAGGTTAGGAAAGCCAAAGCCCAGACAGAATGAAATCTGGCCAGGGACATCAAGGTAACAAAAAAAGCTTCTACAGGTGCCTTCCAGTATCTTTACAGGGCCCTTCTTCAAGAACCAAAGGCCTGGAGCAATTCCAACTGAAGTTGGTAGGATATTTTTAATTGATTTCAAAGGGAATGAGATGCAGATTTTAAAGATCAAGAGAGTTAAAAAATAAAAAAAAGGGGGAGGATTCTTAAGGCAAACACAGGTGGATGACATAAATGAGCAGAGAAACAATGCATAGAAAGAAAAGAAACCTGTAGTATTATGAAGTCCAGAGGCCACCAACACTTTGAGTATGTATTTTTCCAGTTGGCTGGCAAGAAGGCTTGTGAAAAGACATAAGAGAGTGCTTTTACTGTGGTTACTTTCTGCATATCCTCATTTGAACCATGTCAATGCTTCCTGATGGGAATCAGATTCTTAAAAATAGTTGATGAAAAAACCCCAAGGAGTTTTAAAGGCAAAGGTCTGGTTTGGGATCAATATTTTATACCTTCATTAGAAAAATAGAGAAAAGAAAACTTTCAAGTCAGTTAACCTCCTTGTTTCTGAGCAGTCTGAGATGATGGGCATGTACCCCATTAAACAGGCGTATTTTAAGTAAAGATCTCATCAACTGCAATCTTTGAAGTGAGGATACAATGCTGTTAATGAGATCTGCAATGTCTAGCAAACAGCAGAAAATTTTATTTTGAA